GGCTGAAGTAGCCCACAGCGAAAGCAATGTCCGGCCGTGAATGCACCAAGTACCGCAGACTCCCCACTAAGCTGCGATAAAAGGTTGAATCAACACTTGGTCGATCGCTATTCTTCGTCAGTTTCAATCTGGGTTCCATTGGAACGCAAGCTGAATTGCATCCCGCCAGGCCACCCATCTTCAAGAGCTTCTGCGCGTAAGTGGATTGATTTATTGTGATCCCATCGTTGCCTTGATGAACCTCAATGCCGAGGTAGTAGCTGAGTAATCCAAGATCACTCATCCGGAATAGGGAGTGCATCTCCCCCTTGAAACTTTGAATTGTTTCAGAGTGAGCGCCGGTGATGATGAGATCGTCGACGTAGACGCCGACGATTAGCCGCGCGTTCCCGGTCCCGCGCGTGTACACAGCATGTTCTGTGATGCCCCGCGTGAACCCGAGTTCATGAAGACTAACATCCAGCTTCGCGTTCCAGGCACGAGGAGCTTGACGCAGGCCATAAAGTGCTCTGTTCAGGCGCAGGACTTGATGTGGGTGCTTGTCGTCGACGAAACCTGGTGGCTGGGCGACATACACCTCCTCCTCCAGCTCTCCGTTCAGGAAGGCTGACTTCACGTCCATGTGATGCACAAACCACCCAAGGTGAGCTGCAATGGCGAGTAGCAACCGCACGGATTCCATTCTGGCGACAGGGGCGAATACTTCGTCGAAATCAATCCCCTGCTGCTGAACGTAACCCTTAGCGACCAGTCGGGCCTTGTGCTTGACAATTACGCCCGTCTCGTCCTTCTTGAGCTTGAACACCCACTTCAAGCCAATGGGACGCTTGCCAGCAGGGAGGTCAGCGAGAGTCCACGTGTTGTTCTCCACGATGGACTTTAGTTCCTCCTGCATCGCTCGCTGCCAGAGTGTGTCCTGTGCCGCCTCAGTGTGGTTACTTGGTTCCTCGGCAGCAGCCAGATGAAGCTCGTCGGAATCGAGCTCAATTGGCGAGGTAGTGTCGAGGATGTTAGCCACCGTCCGGAAACGACGTGGCCCTACGTTGTCGTCGTCGACATCAGGCGTTTCCGCAGGCGGCGACACGAACTCGACCGCTGGGACGCCCGGTGATGCAGAGATTGATGGCGCCGGTGGTCCCGAGTGAGCCGGCGACGACATGGAGTCGGAGTGGCGGGACGGCACTTCCACCGCCGCTACCTCGTAGCGAACGGTGAAGGTTTCCTGAGAAGACGCCACCCCATCCTCCTCCCCGGGTGACGCCCATGGCCACGACGCTGCCTTGTCAAACACGGCATCGTGGCTCACGACGATGCGCTTGGCCACCGGGTCGTAGATACGATACGCCTTGGAACCCGGCTCGTAGCCGAGAAAGACCATCGCCTTGCTCCGATCATCAAGTTTGTTGATGTGTGGTTTCACCTCCTTGACGTAGACTATGCAGCCAAATGTGCGAAAGTAGTGCACAGCAGGTGTACGACCGTGCCACGCCTCGAATGGTGTTTTGTCGCGGACGCTCTTTGTCGGCGCCTGGTTGAGGATGTAGACGGCAGTTGTGACCGCCTCGCCCCAGAACTCCCCCGGCATGTTCTTGGCCTTCATCATGCATCTGGCCATTGCCACAACCGTCTGGTTGCGGCGCTCGACGACGCCGTTTTGCTGTGGAGAGTACGGCGCCATCAACTGCCTAGCGACGCCTTCGTTCGCGCAGTATAGCCCGAACTCGACAGAGGTGAATTCGCCTCCTCGATCAGTGCGGAGAACGCGCAGCTTGCAGCCGGTCTCCACCTCCACTCCTGCCTAGAACCGCTTGATTGTAGCGGGAGCCTCGCTTTTTGATGTTAGCAGAAACAGCCACATGTAGCGAGTTAGATCATCAATCAGAAGAAGGAAATATTTTTTACCGCCATGTGTCGACGGCGTGATGGGTCCACAGATGTCCCCGTGCACCAGATCAAGACGACCAGTGGCGCGATGCAACGCCGCTGTTGGGAACGGCGCTCGTCGCTGTTTGCCTATTAGACAGCCATCGCAGACCTGGGTGACCCGCTCCAGAGTGGGAATGTCGCGCGCCATGCCGCGGCTCGCCAGTGAGCGGAGTGCGTCGAAGTTGAGGTGCCCGTATCTGGCGTGCCAGACCCAGGCTTGATCGTTCCCCTTTGCGAGAAGGGAAACCGGTTGCGCCAGCTCGACGTGGAGAACATAGAGGCACCCAGTTCCTCGGCGCACCCTACACAGCAGCCGTCGCTGTGAATCACGCAGAGTGAGAACGCCATCCTCGATCACCGTCTTGCAACGTGCCTCATCAAGCTGGCCAAGGCTGACCATGTTGCTCCGAAGATTGGGGATGTAATAGACACCTGTGAGTGCGCAGTGATCGCCGTTCTTGCAGGCGAACAGCACCGTGCCTCGTCCTTTAATCCGGACTCTCGACGCATCACCAAACTTGACAGTGCCGCGCACGGTGGTGTCAAGCTCGGAGAAGGCATCACGGGAGCCCGTCATGTGATTTGAAGCGCCCGTGTCAAGGATTCAGTCTGGATCAATGGGCTCTCCTTCATCACGAAGAGAAACGTGAGCACGTTCCTCGTTCAGTGTCACCTCCCCATCAGTAATGACAGAATCGGTAGCAGGGGCAAGCTCGCACACTTGCGCCATCAGGAGTGTCGGCTCCCCTTCGTCCGCGGGGTGAGCTGGCTCAGCGATGAGAAGATTTGCTTGAGCCAGCTTCTCGCGGTCTCGCTTCGCCTTGCGACAGTCCTTGGCCCAGTGACCAAGTTTGCCACAGTAACGGCATTTGTCCTTGGACACATTGCGGCTCGCCGCTTGGGACGAACCCGACTTGCCGTCGGAGCCGTTGCCGTCGCGCCTGCGCCCACTGCGGTGTGGTTGCCGCGAGCTGGACGCGCTCCCCCCGGCTGAGTTATGCCCAGCTTCCTTGTTTGAGTGAGAAGAGGCCTCCTTTTCGCTGAAGAGCGCCTGACCCGCGTCCTCGCCGTCAGAGTCGGGGTGATCGTCGACGGTGAGAAGCCGGCCAGTCAGATCCTCAATAGAAAGCGAGGTCAGATCAATCAAGGTTTCAATCGATAGAGCCATTTGGCGATACCTCCGGGGAACGACGCGAAGCAATTTTTCGAACAACCTTCTCTTCAGACAGATCATCTCCAAGGAGACGAAGATCGCTGACAACACCCTGGAGACGAAGGCTGAAATCCTCCAGGTGTTCGCCATTCTTGAATCGCATGGACTCAAAAGTTTGGCGCAGCTTCTATGCTCGGGACTCCTTAACACGATCTGCGCCCACTCGCATGGATTTGAGCGCGTCCCAGGCGTCTTTGGCACTGTCCTTCTCGGCGAGCGGCCGGACAATCTCAGCCGGCACCGCTCGCAAGATGGCCGAAAGTGCCTGGCGATCCTCCTGATACGGGACATCGCCGGTGTCGACAGCATCCCATAGACCTTGAGCCTGGAGATTGACTCGCATCAACACCGCCCAATCAGAGTAATTTGAGCGTGTGAGCGTTGGATAGGAGACCGAGCCGCCTTCCTTAACGATCCGCTGCACGACGAGCTGTCGCCTGCGTGGCCGTGGAGGAGACGGCGAGAGCCGATGGCCTGTTCGCCGGGGAGTACGAGACGTGCCGCCGGTGGGAGCGGACATGGCTTTGATACCAAATGAAAGCCAAGCCCAAGATTTGTGTAAACTCACTATCTCTCTCTCACGCGAATTCACTGGTCTCGGAAGAACGATGAACACGAACAGAGTTTTTGGTGCCGCTTACTCGCTGTGACTTTTCTGATGCTCATATATATAGCCAATTTGTACAGACTCAAATTAACACCACTACGCCATCATTCACGATGACGCGACCACGACGCTGAAACCCGGATGACTCGCACACGACGCACGACCCGGAAGACTCGGCTTACATGAGAAAAAAAACAGAGAAACAGACTCTGACGAAACTGAAGAAACGACAACGCTAGACGCGTTACAGTAACCGATAATATGGCACAGGATTATAGCTGAAGCTAACACTTGCTACTTGTTGCTGCTAGCTTGCTTCTTGTCTGTGGATTTAACAGCTTGGCGTTGGATCTTGCGGCTTGCCTGTGGATCTGGATATGCTCGCTGCTTGCTGATGAAGATGCGCTTGTTGCTGACGGGAGAGCTGATGGGATGACAAGACCGACGGACGGTGGCTCGCCGACGATGGATGCTTGCTGCTTGATACCAGCGATCCCCATAACGGAGGTGCGTGTCCTCCTCCTCCTCGAACCCGTCGCCATAGTCGTCGTCGTCTTCAGCAGCAGCGGCGTCAGCATGCGTCGTCTTCGGCGGCGTCGGGCGCCGCGTTCGGGGTGTGTATGGGGGGAGTGCGGCGTGCGCATGTTTGCTACATCAGCGGCGGAGGTGGAGGTGGAGGGGTAAGGTGTGGGATCGCGGTGACGCCGCCGCCGCCGGTGGTAGCTCCTCCCTCGCCGGCCGCTGCCCACGCCCGCCGCGCCCATCTGCTCTCTGCCAGCCGCCCATCGCACGCCGCCTCCGCCGGCCGCCGCTCAGCCCCGCGCGGCGCCGCCCGATGCTACTCCCCCGCAGCAAAGATAACTAAAAAGAAGAGAACGCCACATAGACGTGGCACGCTGACATGTGGGTCCCACGCTGACTACCGGAGTCAAAACCACCAAAGACCTCAGGTGACCGGTTTTGTGTAGTTTAGGGACCTCGCATATCTGATTTTGCGGTTCAGGACGCTTTTGTATCCTGGTGACAAGTTGAGGGACCTTCGGTGTACTTTTTCCAATCTCAATTCGCGCATGCACGCGGCCCAACAACGGGAAGACGCGCGTGCGCTGGCCCACGGCAACGATGCGGCCCGCCTCGTCTTGGTTTGGGCCCTAGAGAAAACGGAAAGAAGCCCGCGAGAAGCGACGCAACGCAGCCAACCGTGTGGCGCGCGAGGCTTCCACCGTGGACGCGCCTCCTGCCGATAAAAAAAAACCGTCTCGTTCGAGGCCACGTGCTCGCCAAAAGAGAAGGGGAAGGAAAGCCATGGCGGCCACGAGCTCCACCTCCACGGCGCTCTTCTCGCTGGCCATCCCTTCCTCCCGCGTCGTCTCCACCCGAGGCCACCGCAAGGCTAGCTCTGGCAGTGGCCCCTTCCGGGCGGCCCGCATCAGGTGCTCCAACGCCGCCTCGCCGAACGCGTCCGCCGGAGCCGCCTCCGCGGAGGAGGCAGCGCCGCCGCCCAAGCCCCAAATCGACCTCGAGTTCGTCGGAGTAAGTCACTGGCTGGTTGTCCCCGCCATGGGGAAGGTTGGGGTTGCCTTCTTATGATGTGTGATGGCCTGGGTGATGTGCAGCCGAAGGCGGATGCCGATGGGTCGTTCCCGGTGGACCGGGCGGCGGCGGGCAGCGGCGAGAAGCTCCTCCGGGACGTCATGGTCGAGAACAAGATCGAGCTCTACGCGGCATATGTGAGTTTCCCTCTCGCCCTGCCTCGATTTCTCTGAAGATTTTTGCTACGGTTGTCACTTTGTCAGGTTGCTTCTAGCCAAGCTGCAGTGTAACAGAGAGAGTTGCATTGCTGTTTTGTTGTTTTTGCAGGGGAAGGTGATGAACTGCGGCGGCGGCGGCAGCTGCGGCACTTGCATCGTCGAGGTACCCTACTCTCTCTTGCCTAACCAATGGCATCTCTAGTTCTTGCCTCAATTCGATGCTTGGCCGAACCTGCAAATGGTGTGTTCATGGTCTGAATTCTGAAAACGACTCTGAAACATTTCACCTTACTAGGATATTAGCTATGCAACTTTAAACTGTAGCTGGATTAGTTAACCACAGCTTGGAATTGTCAATGTGACACAGATAGTTGATGGCAAGGAGCTCCTGAATGAAAGAACAAACACTGAGAACCGGTATCTGAAGAAGGTACCAAGCATTCCATTTCAGGTTTTTTTCAGTTGGGCAATGCTGTTTCTGGGCTTCCCTGTTTTCTGAACTTTCTGTTGCTATATGCTTTTCTGATTACACCAAAACAGCTGCCAATTGACTGCTATTTGTATTTCTTGTCTATATGCCAGAAACCGGAGTCATGGAGGCTTGCTTGTCAGACTATTGTTGGAAACAAAGAAAATTCCGGCAAGGCATGTTCCTTAACACGTTGAACTATTCTCATTATTATGCTACTCCAAAAGAGTCCTTATGAAAATGTCTCTTTTTTTTTTGTGAATAAATCAGTACAAGACTACAAGTATACCACAAGAACGAAGGGTCTTTTCGCTCATGCTTATCACCCAAAATTTGGCCCACGAAAATGCATTTATTCACCATGATTTCAGTGAGATTTAAACGGTTTTATTATTATTATTTATTTTCGCAGGTTGTCGTCCAACGTCTGCCCCAGTGGAAAAAATGATTGTAGTGCACACGTGATGCACTAACTGCATGTGATCAGCGATCAAGTTGTACTACCTGCTATGCACTGTTGAACACGGAAGCATGCAATGATTTTTCTCCTGGAATTTATTGGCAATATGTAAAAATTATACCATATCATTGAAATTTACATTTACTTCGGTAGAAAAATAACTTTTACGGAGTTGTTTGTGAAGTGCCTTAGTGAATATAACTATACATGAAAAAATACTCAATAATCCGTTGTAGTCTAGCTGGTTAGGATACTCGGCTCTCACCCGAGAGACCCGGGTTCGAGTCCCGGCAACGGAATCTTTTTTTCATTTTTTGCATCTCAGGAAATTCAAGTGAAGAATTTATATCCAAATACAGAAGACATTGAATGATCACATTTAGGCTTTTTCATGTTCTTATCTTGCAAATTCTTCTTTTGCATCTCAGTATTTCAAGTGAAGTATTTATTTTCAAATACACAAGACATTGAATGATCACATTTAGGCAGTAAGAAAACACAGGTAGCCAAGTAAACTAACAAATCTTCAAAGCTAAATAGCTAAATGCTACACTGGAAGCTTTATGGCATGTAAATCAACAAGGGTCATTACGTAGATCATCTTACAATTTTTATTTGCAAGCACACCAGATGCCCTTTTAGGTTGTAAGAATACCACATTAGGAGATACTACCAAACTGAATCAACGTATTAGAAGTTGCTTGAGCAACCATGACCAGAAGAAGAGTGAGTTTAGGCGTAGGAAATTGCTCATAAATAAACAGGCAAAGATACAGGTAAGGAGTTTAAGCACTCGATACATGCTTTGCCTTCAGAGCATAAACATACGAAAATAGTTACAACTTACAGCACTGCTTACTAATACAGACATAAAAAAGAAATAAGGGGAAAATAGTGAAGTCTGAAGTCGTTCAGTTGGTGAGCATCACCAGAAAGTGAAGAACCCCATTTTCACCTTCACTGAACACATGCTAATTTTTCACCTCCACTGAACACATGCTAAATAAGGGTGGCAATCAAATTTGCTGAGGGTTGGCGGCCTACCAGGACGGCTGTATGGCCCGTCACTGGCTGGAAAGAAGCAGCTGATTCTAGCTTCTCCCATGTTAACCTCCTCTTTGATTCCAGTGAAGCTTGCCTTTCTTCGTCCTCCTTGTACTTGACCAGGCACGCCGAAAAGAGCACGTCATCCATCTCAGAAAACATCTTCTTTACATTATCTGTGAGATTCAGGACAGCTTGGTTCCAATGATTCTGGCTATTATGTTCCAATGCTGGAACAATGATAGGCATGATCATTTGGCGGTTTTGTGCAATCAAGCTAATAACGTTATCGTTGTTCCATATGAAAAGCGCCCGTTCAGCAACCTGAAAAAACCCATCTCGTTGAGGCAATTACTTGGATAAAAAGCATTAGTCTGTCATGGCAGACAAATGTCTTCAATTCTTAATGCTGGTCCAAATATCTCACATTTGTGATATTAACAGTACAGAGCAACCCCATGCCCAAAGCATGATTAGTTGATAACATAATGGCCCACTATTGTTGTCCACATTTATTTCGGACCATCAGACATCTATTATCTCATCCATTTGGCAAGTCAACAGGTAATGCTTTCATACCTTACATAAATGATGCAACCAAAAAAACCCTATATACCATGTGAGCTTTACGATCATGATCCATTTCAACTGAGTGATGTTTACATAAAATTTTACCACCTATATAATAAAATGTCTAGGTGAAGCGGTAGAGTTAGCGACTAGTATAGTAATTCATCAGCGTGGCAATTGATCAATCAAACAGGGCCACAACTACTTTCATATGTAGTACTCCGATATATTATTTTTACCACCTATATATTATTTTTCTTAGGTGAGGGAAATGCATAGTGGCAAAAACAGAAAATAAACATCGATAGGTTATATTTATTTGGGCAAGTTACCTGGAAGTGAGAGCTCTTGATGCATTGAGCAATCCGCCTAAACAAAGGTACCATACATTTCTGGAATTCCGCCGTGCTGATTGTCTCCAAGATCTCTTCAATCTCACTCAGAAACATCACCTCCTTCTGACTATTTGTTATTGGCCAATATCTTAGCAAACCAATAATTACTGAGCTAGCAAGCTTGGGATCCTTTTCTATGAACTGTGTCACACAATATGTCAACTGCTGGAGATACACACCAACTGATTTTGGTTTGTGTAAAGGAACCAAAACTCTCCAAAGAAAGATTTTGTGTTCTTCCTTCAGAGGCAACGCAAAGCCACTAATAACACTGCCAAATACCTCCAGCAGCTCAGCAATTCCGTTATGCCGGTCAGTCTCAAACACAAAGTGGTAGAATATATTGCTTACTGCTTTCCGGATAAAAGGACGGTGAACCATGAACTTCCCATAAATCCTGTGCAGAATAGTTTTCAAACAATCCCTTTCCCTTGGATCCTCTGAATCAAGAAGATTCAGCAGTTTCACAATGAAGGAGTGATCAAAGTACTTTTTCCCTACCTTTGCATCGAGGGACGAGGATCCAATAAATTTCAGTAGCAGCTCATAAACAAGCTGCAGATGGCACCATGCAGGCTCAAACATTGGCTCCTCCTCTTCACCCTCGCCGCCGCCAGATGAACTGGACCTGTAATTTGGAGGAAACACCCGGAACAAGTTGACAGCAAACATCCTAGAGCTAGCAGCAATCACCGCCTCGGAGAAACGGGAACTGCTGGAATCCACGTAATCTATGAGATCCAACAACGTCTGCCTCTTGATATCCTTCTCCGCCGAGCTCTTGTTCGGATCCGAGAAGTCAAAGACAGCACAGCACAGATTCAGCTTGCTGACGAACAGATTCTGCTTCTCCGAGTTGGGGACATCCTTGAACGAGACAAGTGGCTCAATACCAGCCACGACGCTGGACGGGAAGATGGCGGATGACATGCGCTTGATGGTGGAAGTGGAGCGGCCAGATGGGATGCTGCCGCAGCTGCTGGTGCGCTGTATCGGGTTCCCATTCCCAGCGCCATTGCTGCACTGGCCGGAGTCGAGGTCGGCGCCCCTCCCAGAGGCCGAGGTCTTCCGGGGCAGCTTGCTGAGGAACCCTTTCCACATCTTCCACCGAGCTTCTCACGCCAAAACCATAGCCGCAGCAAGGCTTTGAGGCAGCGTACCAAGGCTAGCACCGAGTGGACCAACAACCGCGGATGCCAACCAAAAGATCTAACCAATCTCCACCTGATCCGGCCGGCGGGGATCTTGTCGTGCCTCCCCGCACCGCCACTGAGCAGATCAGGCCACCAACGAGCTCGTCCAACCAACAGCAGCGCCCTCGCCGAACCTGTGGCCACAGCTCCGGAGGGTCCCCGCGAAGCCGAGCGACGTCGGTGGAGGGTGGGAGGCCTTCGATGCCAGATGCGCGGGGGGCGACGGCGGCGACTCCGTCAGCTGCGGGCGGGGCAATGTGGAGGCGGAGGCGGCAGGGGGAGTGGCTAGGGCACGCGCGGGGGCACCGGCAGCGACCTCGGCGTCGGCGGCGGCGGCGGCGGCGGCGGCGGCGGGCGGAGCAAGGCGAAGGGGGTGCGCGCAGAGTGGCGGCGGCGAGCTACACTTCCCGCCGGCGGCGACGGCCGTGGCGCAGGGGGGGCGGCGCGTGCAGGGGCCAGCAATGGCGGCCGGCGCCTCTAGCTATTCGACACTGGACTCGGTAGGAGAGAAGGGAGGAGGGGACGAGAGAAGGGAGAAGAAGATGAGGAGGAGCCTAAGAGGGGTGTGTGTGATTTGTGAAAGAGATGGGAAAGTTAAAGAAAATATTTTTTTTTTGTGTCTCGCAAACTTTTACATTAGGGTCCTTGCAAGATTGGAAATAGAGCATAAGAAAAGTATATTGGAGGGAAGTTATTATACGTTTATTGTGATATGGAATTACTCTCCCTTAATTTTGTTTAATTCTCTTCAAATCAAACAAACTGACCTATCTTTTTTCGTTTATGTTTATACTTATCAGCCAAAATTTAAATTTTTAACCTTAAATTTAAACCTGGTTTTGAGGTTTTCTTATCAAAGTTTAGTTTTCAGTCTTTACTTTTATGCCCCTGAGAACACGTATATAAAAGTTTTATTAATAAATTACTTCTAGTTTACAAATATTTCCACGAATAAGCCAAACAATGAAGCCAAAAGACATGCTAGGTTCACTGACCGGTTTAATTTTCTTGGTTTAATACTTTAATCGCCATCGGGTCTGGACCGCAAGGAATGGTTCCTTTGGTGTCTCTTGTGGAACACAATTTTTAAACATGTGGTAGTAGTACGGACATGATCATTATAGAAGAGCTGTGCACGCCTTACGATGTCCATGTTGATTAGAAAACCAGCTGCAAATCTGGATCTTTTTCAAAGCTTCATCAGATCCTTGGTTTACAAGGAGAGATTAGCCAATAATCACATGCTAATGCTCAATGAGAACAACAAAAGAAACCAGTACTAGTACGAGCACTACAATTTTCGAGAAAGTGTAGGGTGGTATGTGCAAATATGGTCCTTTAATCGGAGCCCCGGCCCATCAGCACGGGCAGGGGGGGACGGGCCCGGTCGGCGGAAGCCCCCCCCTTTAATTCGAAAGACACGGTCACGGGCGGAGCGAGGCCGACCGTCCGATGGGGAGTGGCAGAGGCCGCACGGCGCGGGGAGGGTCGTACACGTGTCCGGCCGAGCCGGGCGGTGCGGCCGCCGGCACAATCGATGGCGAGCAAACGTCACGGGTGGCGGTGGGCACGGACCACCCTGACGGGCCCCCGTGCCGTCCGTCTCGCTGCTCCTTCCATCGCTCGGTCGCCGACAGGTGGGGACCGTGAGACGGCGTGAGAGCCTAGATGTTTCCTGAGTGGGTATGTGCCTGTTCAATTCAGATAATTGTCAAGATCAATCTTTCAAATTTTAACTTTTAGTTACTTGGTATAATTTTCAAACTTTGATAGTATAGAATAAAAATATGTTGTGCCAAAATTTCTTATGCACTATCACTATTTGGTACTTCCTCCGTTTCACAATGTAAGTCATTCTAGCATTTCCCATATTCATAATGATGTTAATGAATCTAGATAGATATATATGTTTAGATTCATTAGCATCAATATGAATGTGAAAAATATTAGAATGACTTACATTGTGAAACGGAAGGAGTACATAAACTAAATGCAACTATATTTTTTTTAATTTTACTAAATATTGGTATGATTTAAAATGACACTAATTTAAACGGCCCTATGACTTCTGATTCACGGTAACATCTTCGGATACATGTGTGTGTGAGAGAGAGGATCAGCGATATTTTCTTGTAGTCATATCGCCCGCAATCAATGGCGCTGATCGGTATTGCTGGCTGCAGCCAGCCTAATGCAAGTTCATTTTCTACCGCTGCAACAGGATGCCCAGCTTGCTGGCTGCAACAACCAGCAGAAACGATCAGCGCCAATATGGTGGTGGTCTGGCTGCATGATCTGCAATGAAATAATAGCAGTAGTTCCTTGCTTGATCCATGGGGAATTGGGGATGGACGTGCAATGAGTAGAGTAGCCCCATGTTCCATGCACATCCGATGAACAAATTGGGGGTCAACTCCAAGTCTCCAGAGTTCAGTCACAATAAGCACAGCTCACGAGTCCATTCAAGGCCAATCAGCGGCTATACCAACAGAAACACTTGATCGAAACATATCAGGCGTTTATTCAGGAGGAAAGAGATATTGGGGTGAAAGGACCGGAGAGGCAGGTAGTGCACATTCTGAGGGCCCCTTTGAATCGCAGGATGGAGACAACGTAGGAATAGGAAAAACGTAGAATTTTGATAGGAATATAAGTTTAAAACAGAGGATTGCAAAACACAGGAAAAACACAGGAATGACCGTTTGATTGAACCACAGGAAAAACACAGGAATTGGATGAGAGAGATAGACTCAAAGGAAAGTTAGCAAGAGGTTGGAGCTCTTGCTAAATTTCCTCCAAAAATCTCTATAGGATTGTTCATTCCATAGGAATTTCAAAGGATTGGATATGATTCAATCATTTGTTTCAAAGAGCTTCATAGGAAATTTTCCTATATGATTGAAATCCTCTAAAATTTCTATGTTTTTCCTCCAAATTAAAGGGGCCCTGATATTTGTTCATTCATGGGATTCCACTATTTTCTTTGGATTGAAGGAAAATTGCGTTATTTCCTACTTTCTCTCTCTCTTAATTGGATCTATGACATTATAAATTTACCCGTTTTAAAATATACTATTATTGTTTGTGAAATTAGAACAATGCCATTGAAATTTCACACATATTCGAAATATACCACTACTTACTCATTCATTACATTTTTCAAATTTTTAGGACCAAATTATCCATTTTTCTCCATCCATCCCCTTCTTCCTCTCCCTCTCTCCTCTCTTCCAGCGAGCTCGTGTAGCTGGAAGAGAGCAGCGGTTGCAGCGTCCACGGGCTATAACTGGTCACAGTGCTAGAGCCAATGTCGATGGCGAGGATCGCAACCGGTGCTGATCTTCCTGTGCACCGCAGGCTTGTTGCTCCAACGACGCCAAGTCGTGTGGTGACGAAGCTCTAGGCATGAGGTCCCTGCAGCAACAAGGTCGGGCCATCGGATTTGAAGGCATCACCGGTCCCCTCTATCTCCGCCAACGGTTGTGCCCTATAACAGCTCTTCCAGCGTCGTGGCCGCTTGCTGCATGAGCCTATTGTGGAGCGGAGGCGTGCGACGCGTCGCATAGGGACGACGACCGACCGTAGCTAGAGGTGAAAGGTTAGAGAGAGGACATAAATAATTGATGGAGGAAGAAGACAAGGCTATTTTGGTCTAAAATATTTAGAAATTGCATCAATGATGTAATCTCAAACATCTATTAAAATGTAGTATGATTTCAATCACGTAAACTGCAGTGACATACTCCCTCCTTCACTAAATGTTTGACACCGTTGACTTTTTTAAACATGTTTGACCATTTGTTTTATTCAAAAACTTTTGTGATATGTGTAAAACTATATGTATACATAAAAGTATATTTAACAATAAATCAAATGATAGAAAAAGAATTAACAATTACTTAAATTTTTTAAATAAGATGAACGGTCAAACATTTTTAAAAAAGTCAACGGCATCAAATATTTTGGGATGGAGGTAGTATTTCCAAACGGAATTTATAATGGCATATGACACATAGTAAACCTTTTTTTTTTTCTCATACTCCCCTTCCGAAGAACTCCTCGGAGAAGTCGAACCAATCTCGCCGCTTTCTCTCTCCTCTCCCGAACCGGCACGAACCTGCCTAATCCCCGTGCAGGCATCTGTTTTATTAACAGAAAACGCGCGTATATGCATCTGATTTATTAACCCCCAGATTTTCTGGCTGCCGGCGGCGCACGCGACGACAGTGTCAGGATCGCCGCGGCGGCGGCGGCGAGGTATTTTCCGGTCGACGTATTCGCCTCTGAAAAATTGTTCCATATACGATCGTGTCGGCGGCAGCCGGCATACGCAATGGAGGCAGCCGACGTGCGTGCCCGTGAAAGCTTGTTCATCCCCATCGATCTGAACGAGAAATCATCTCACGAAAAGCAGGATGAGGAGGAGATTCATCTTCGTCAATTGGAGCAGCTGCTCGCGCCGTTCAATCCGTGGGAAGCGGGCGATCCGGAGCTGGAGGAGTGGCAATGTGCTCGACCCAAGACGAGACACCCCACGCCGCCGCCGCCGCCGCCGCGTCGTTGCCACCTGCTGTTCACGATGAAGCTCTCCGTCAAGAGAGGGCAGGCCATGTGGTCGCGCAAGGAGACCCCTCGCTTCTCCGCCGAGCGCGCCGGCGGATTCCCCCTCCGCTTCGCCCGCCTCGCCGCCGACGGGTCCCCTCGCCTGGAGCTGGAAGAGGACGGTGGCCGGGTGGGCGCGCTCTCCTGTTTCGAGTCCAGGCCATGGCCTTGGAGCAGGAGGGAGGAGGTCGTAGCCCTCGCCGCCGCTGATTCTGTGCCGGTGAGGGTTGTGGCCGTCATTAGGCGGTTTCCGGTCGCCGGAGGCGACCGCCTCGCCATCGTGTCCAACATGAGGATGGCAAGCCTTGTGGTGCGCCTCCATGACAAGCTCTTCGTCCTGCCCCCCGACGGCTCAACTGTCACCATTGCCTTCTCCGAGCGATGGTTCCGTGTCCCCTCCAATTGGACGGAGGAGAAGTTGTATGCTAGGGTCGGCCATGATTTCATCAACATTACGGCCGCATTGGAGGATCTGGCCAGGACTCTCTACCAGATGTATGAACAAGAGGAGCAAAAAAAGATGGTGCTTCAGGAGAAACAAGAGCAGGAGAAGAGGAAGCAAGAAGAGCTGAACAGGGAAAGGGAGGAGCTGGAGATGATGCCTCTTGCCTGCATCCCTCTAGGCCATGGGGAGATGCAGTGGGAATCGCCTTGTGAAGCGATGCACCGAAGGTTCAAACTATCAATGGGCACTGATGGGGAGGTTCGCTGCAACTTTGTGGAGCAGGAATGTCCTCGCGTCATGCGCCGGAGGCTTGCCTGCGATGGCAGGTTTATTCTGCCATTGACGACGATGAAGCTTCAAGTAGTAGGATTTGTGGAAGGCTATTCGGACCCAGAGACCATTGGCTTCACAGAACAAAGAAGCTATATAGAGACGTTGAGACCTGTGGCAATGCTATCGGTGTTGCCGCAAGAACACACACAGGTGGATCAGATTTTGAGTTTCAAGTTCCTAGTAGACAATGTACCAATACGGCTCAACGATGGCATCATTCTTACTGGGTGGAGTGGAATCACGGTGGGCATCCATAGCGGAGATGATGACGACAACTGCACATTCCTGCCCTGCACCTCAGCAGAGAGCTGGACACACCAAATTCTAGAATGGAGGGTCGATGATAACAACCCAATATCGTGTTCAAGTTTGCTTGTTCAGCTCAATAGGAAGCTTTGCCGGCTAAATGCCGCAATGACAGAAAGAGAAGACATGATTTGGGACTCAGTGCAATCTTTGCATTAGAAGCAGAGGAAGTGCAGGGTCTTCTGTATCACCAAGAACAGCTAGAAAACCAGGACTTTAGGCTTAATGAGTTATCCCTATCTGGGGAACCATCAGTGGGAGGGGAAGGAGAAGCTGAGTACAGCTTATTGTTTGAATCTCCTGGCGAATCTGATTGGGTGAAGGTTTCAGAACCATATGTACCAAAGTTTCCAACTGAAGAAGAAATTAGGAAGAGGGAGGAGTGGCGCAAGGAGCAGCTTAAGCTGGTCATGGCGCCGATCATACGGCCAGTGCAGGAACCGAGAAGGGGTATAAATTATTTCATGTCTGAGCCACGCAGCAGGAGCACCAGGGAAGCAGAGCTCCCAATGCATGAACCATACTCAGTGTTACTATACTACTGGACCTTGTCCGACAAATCAGAATGTAAGTACACATCTATATTCATCTGAATTGCATTTCCATGAGCACTAATATTTACACATATTTGCTGATTTGTTGTTATACTGGGTAAAAAAATGGTCATTAGTAGGACCAATACATATTGGTACTGAAATTAACTAGCATGATAGAGTGCTTACATAGAAAATTCCTACCAATTCATGTAACATAGATAAAAATACAACATATCTTAATCAGCAGTAGTCGCTGGTTTACTAAGTGGACAGGCAACTTTCTTTTGTCTTCATTGCAAGTAATAATTGCCACTGTGCGAACATTGATGTAGATAGGGGAGAAAGACATATATTTTAGCACTCAAAAAATGAAACGGGCACTTTTCCTTAACCATCTCTCCGTGTATTTTATAACTTGAGGAATTCAGTTACTGCTTGGGGCTTCGCTAAGGAGCCTTAACTTTGCAGTTCAAATAACTAAACAGATGCACGTGTGTAAGACTTCTTCTCCAAATCATGCATTCTTTTCTCTAAGACAAAGTTCTGGATACTAGTTATTGTTTGCTTTGGCCCGATTTGTAATCCAGGCTAATTAAGTAACTCTTTGAATCCAGCAAAGTTGAAACCTAAGAGGAAGGTGTATCCTAGACTTGTTTGTTTGGAGTGGTGTACTTGTTCACCCAGCAGCATGTTGCAAGTTTACGCCCTCGAGATCATTGTAGCTGATTCTCTTCATTCCTGCAAACTCGACATATCCGGTTTCGTTGCGATTAGGGACTTACGTGATGGACGGCGCAATTACATTTTCAACAGAGAAATGGACCACCCTTTCACTGTCGTATCACAACATGTATGCACTCCATCTCTTCCACATATCTTTTCACAACTTATTCTCTAAGCGGAAATGATGAAAGCTCTATATGGGCATATTGCTTTACTCTGCAGGGTGTTTTGCAGCTGCCAACATTGAGCCCTCGGAGAGCCATTCATACCAATCCTAAAATCTTGCTCGAGTTCAACCTGAAGATGAAGAGAACAGGTAATGGCATTCACAGTTACCATGATCTGATCCAAGGAGTAGTAGAACATCCTAGTATATATCGGCGCGATTGGTCCAGAGTCAATGAGCTGTCCATTGTACCTTGTGGCAACAACTCTACTCCAATGATGCGCCTGAAGCTCGCCGTGATTTCGAAAGGCGTCGAGGCCACTGTTGAGCTCCAGCTGCTCAGGCTGCCTCCTGGAGGCATTGATTTGCGATGCACAGCTCGGTCAGGCCGTATAGCTGATGACATTGAGCTTTTTGATGGCAAATACGGTGGTGACGACACCTCCCTACAGTTTGTGGTGGCAACGGAGCTGCATGGCAACATGGAGATCCACTTGGAAGCAGTATGTAATGGTGTGAGCCAGAGATGGTGCATTGATTTTGTGCCAAAGTTCCATGCTTTGTTCTCTCAGGAGGTAGACTTCCAATTTGCTCAGCTCTTGCTGACTATTGCCTGGTCCATGTAGATAATGCCTGCGTGAAACTGCACAACGTTATGCAGTGTGTTTTCTTCTAGCTATGTAATCTATGATACTAGATGCTATATACTGTTTCGTATCTATATTGTTCAAGCATAGAACATTTTATAAAACAAATTGTTTTATAAAATTTAGTGGCTACCGATGATGTGGCTGAACATTCAGATGATAGGAAAATCAGAACATCTTTTTTTAGGACACCCCTAATGCTGCAAACCAGTTGCGATATGGTTCTGACTGGATGTAGTCATTTAGATAACATCTTCTACAATCACATCCAGATTAGCTTTACATTTAGACCAAAAAAAAAAACTCCTGAAGTTCACAAGTTCTTCTGAGGATTGGATAAGAATCTGGAGCAAGATGAAATATAGATGGTAAAATTACATCTCTCTCTCTCTCTCTCTCTCACTGATTATTTTACTGTAATAATTGTCTCTCACACTGTTGCTATGCCTGTGAGCATGTGACAATATCAAGTTTCTGCTTTTGTAGGTGTAACAAACATCTGAGGGCCAGTTTAAGGGGACATATATGCTATTTCGCATTAGTTTTTTGTTGCTGTGTGCAGGCATCGGCGAAGGAGAAGAGTGCAGTCTTTATAGTGGCCAAGGACTTGCCAAAATTCACCTTTTTAACATTGTCAGCTCGGTGGTGTGAAGGTAATCTCACTTGAATTAGTATAAGTAGGCAACCATTTACACCTAAACATTAGAAACCAGTGATAAGAGGCATCTATTGGGCAAATACTTATATTGCAGGTGAACATTTTTTATGAAATTTCAGACTTCAGTGTGTCCTATGGACAGAATGTAGTACCTTTTACACTTATTCACTGAAAATGGTTGGGGATACTCAGATATTACAAAAAAAAAAATTCAGGTCATTCCGTTTCTTTCTCTACTCTTCCTTTCATATATGATATATCTATCTTTGTTCTTCTGCGGCTTCTTTCGTGTAGATATTTATTCTAAAGCCATGGCATTCCGTTAAATCATGTATATATTACTTACCCTGTACTAAATGTCCCTGTGTTTTTTGTGGCGTTTTTTTTTTTGCTACAATCTGGTGTGGAAATATGTTGGAGGAGAAGAAAATTGTAGGTTTCTTTAAATAAAAGGTAGGCTTTCTATTCTTATCCAGATTCAACCTTTCTCATGGCTCATTATTTTACAAGATGGTCATCTTTTTGGTGTACTAATATGACTACTCTTCCTTTCATATATGATATATCTATGTTTGTTCTTCTGCAATTTCTTTCATGTAGATATTTATTCTAAAGCCATGGCATTCCATTAAATCATGCATGCTACATATTAAGCCCTGTACCAAATGTCCCTGTGTTTTTTGTGGCGTGCCTTTTTTTGGCTATAATCTGTTTTGGAAATATGTTGAAGGAGAAGACAATGCTAGGTTTCTTTAAAATAAAAGGTAGGTTTTCTGTTGCTATCCAGATTCAACCTTTCTCATGCCTCATTATTTTACAATATGGCCATCTTTTGGGTTTTTACTAATATGAGTTATTGGTGGCATGTTGTGATTTTAGTGCTACATCTGGCTATTAGTTGCCAAGCATATTTCTGAATTCTGAATGCACAAAATTTGCTCTGCCATATTCTTTTATCAGCTATTTTGCAAGTTCCTAGCAACAGGACCATTCCTGACAAATGAAAAGATCAATGGTAGTTTTCTAATGGTGCCGTTCCAAATAATATATGGATCATTCCTTCCTCTAAACTAAAACTCTGCTATTTGAGGTTTTTGCAGTTAACTGGTTTACATTAAATTTCTTTTAGCTATGGAAAGAATGGTAAAACTTCATTTGGAGCATTGTTGTGAACTTGTCGGGTTCAAATCCAAATCCTACTATCCATTTCGGATATCAATCACTTGCCATGTGAAGTCACATTTGTTCAAGTTACCTTTTGGCTTATTTGGTCATTTCATTGTCGAAGGGAAGTCACATTTGTTCCTTTCTTTTGTAAATAACCATTTGGTGGATATAAAAAGCAATATAAAATTCTAGCTTCATTCTTCCCTGTTATTTTTGGTTTGACATATTTTATTCGATGTGTTGTTGACAAGAGAACTAGATTGATCGCTCTCCGCAGTTTTGTCCATGCAGCAGGTGTGCCATGGAATTGCACTCTGCTGTGTGAATGCACCCTGAGCACCATGCTGCTTATGTGCGTTCTGAACCTTCCCTGATCTCGAAGTTCTGAACTTCTGTTTTCATGAATTTGAATTCTGAACTTCTCAATGACTGCATGTTTTCAGGAAAAAAAGGAATGTGATTGTTTGGATATTGCAGGGAATGTGCAAAGGTCCTTGTAACTCATGCTGCCGCGTTTCTGAGAGCAAGCTGATTTTTTGCAGTTTGAGCAGTAAATCATCAGAGTTGCAGCTAATAGTTCATGGTGTAATCTTTGCATACAAGGATTACTACTCAAGTTCTGAATCTTGATTCACCTCGGAGTTACTCAATTGAGTTACTCAAGTACTGAATCTTGATTCACCTTGGAGTAATGAACTTTCTTTTTCCTGAATATGTAGACTCTTCAGATGTCCCAGCAAAGCTACAGTGAAACTGAACTTCAGAATCTGAACCTGAACTTCTAACATCCAACATGCAAATGCAATGGTTCGAGGCGTTAACTTCTGGAGTTCTGGTCAATAGGGCTTCCGCACTGTACAGTTCGGAAAAAAAAATCCATTTTTTGGTAGAAATTTGCCATGTGAGCATGCAAATTTAAGTGTTTGTGTAGTGCCAAATTTTTTGGTAGAAATTCTGGATGGTGTATAGTAGAATCTTGTGAGCTTGACAAATTTGTGTTGTGTAAGTATGACAAATTGGAATTGTGTCTGTAATGTCAATTGGAATAATTGGAAGAAATCATATATTTTGTCTGTAGTCTGTCTGTATTGTTGGTTGCAAATTGCAAATCGGCATATATGGAACAAGAGCCAGTGAAGAATCGTGCAGAATTCAGTGTTCTTTTTTCTATCAGGACATGCTGTCCAAACATGCTTTGCATGCCAGAACTCACACAACAGTGAACTGAATGTTTTCTTTTTGCCTGAGAAATTCATTCTTGTTGATTAAAACTGATACATGTGCAGTTCAGATGGCAGTTGCTCCATGAATTCCTTGAGGTTATAGTGCCTTGAGTATGTGTATTATTGCCAAAATGGACCACAGCAAAATTGAACACAGATTTCATACACAGCAATATTGCCAAAAAAAAAAACAAGTGAAGCACTGAGCTCAACATTTTGCACTGTTCAATATCAGTATATGTATATATGTGAATAAAATTGGGTATTCACTGAGCTCAACATTTTGCACTGTTCAATATCGGGAGTACAATATAGAGTTGTACAATACCTTAAGCTAGAAGAGTTGGCTCCCTGCTGGCTTTGCAGTGACCAGTGAGGTGGTTTCCATGATGGCTTGAGAAAGGAAGACATGCTAGCCTGAAAAAAAAAATAGCTCCGGATCTCAATGGATGAAACCAAATCTTTCATCAGCTAGGGAAAACAAATCAGTTTTAGCTCCTGATTTCAGTTACATCTTCGTTTCGGGATATTCATAATTTTCTGAGCTAAGCTGAAAAACTAAACATCCCTTTCGCCGATAATTATGGTGGCTACTAGTAGTACCTTTTTACTCCAGTAGTCCAGTGCATGATTTTTGGTTTGTTTCAGCTAAATCTACAGGAGCAAGAAGTCAAGATCAAGTTCAGAGCTTCATATTACAGGGCTATCCCTTCTTTTCCCACCTAGCAAGGCTATCAATTTGTTGATTTATATGGACGATTTTGATATATTTTTTTGCAGATCATGGATAGAGCTCTGAATCTAACATTATTTGCTCCTTTCCCTTTACTCAAGAATTGCAACATGCTTTGTCTTTGTCCTTGGCTGCTGGCCGCACATAATACTTTCTCCGCTCCAAAATATAAGCATTTTTAGAATAGTGACAGGTTTAACATTTTTAATTTTGACTATTGATAGTAAAAAAATTAAAAAGATCAATCATGTAAAATTGGTGTTACTAGATTTAAACAAACTATCATAATATATGCAACTTTTTTTTATATAAACACCTTACTTTTATAAATGTTATTTTTTTTAACGGAAAACAACACGAGTGCCTTTTCATTGAATTGAACATGAGAAAATATAACCCCAAGGGACAAAGGGAAAAAGAGAAGCACTATAGATGTACACTATACAGAATGCGGGATTAACTCACGCAACCGTTTGGCCCCTGCTAAAGTCCAAAGGCTAACCTCCTCTTTGATTCTCGTTAGCAGAAAACTCGTTGCCACCTCTTTATGATCAAAGATCCGCCGATTTCTCTCTTTCCAGATTTCCCAGACGACTAATAGGATGAGCGATCGAAGCCCCCTTCTTGGGACACTAGGAGTGTTTGCGAGGCTCTCCCACTATTGTTTGACAGACTGGGTTTCCTCCCATTCAGTCGGCTCCAGCTGTTGATAGCCCACCCATGCAGAGACAAGGTGCCAAATCATCTTGGTATATCTACAAGTGGCAACGAGGTGCAGTGCCGTCTTAGCCTCGCGGCAGTAAAAAGAGCAACAACCGTTATTTTGCCACCCCCTAATCGCAAGCGACCTGATGTCCAGACTCTATTCTGGATGATAAGCCAAGCATGAAATTTGCATTTCCCCGGTGCCCAGGCTTTCCAAATCAAGGAGTTGAAGTTTGTGCTCGGCGCCCCACAACATTGCGCATGGTAGGCCGAGGAGGCCGTGTAGCGCTCGTTGCTTGTGAACTTCCAGGCAATCTGATCCGGTTCTCCAGTGTCTAAGTGCACATTCCGGACCGCTTCCCACAAGGCGACTAGCTGCTCGACGAGGTCAACCGTGAGAAATGAGCGTGGTTTGAGGTTCAAATCTCGAAGATAAATGTTATTGTTCAAAGTAGCATCTCGAAGAGTATATCAAATTTAAAACAATACTTATATTTTAGGAGGAGTAACTAGAGAATTCTTCCAATATTGGAGTACATCCGAGGCTGTGTTTAGTTCCACGCTAAAATTGAAAGTTTAACTAAAATTGGAAGTTTAAAGAAAAAAAATTGAAAGTTTATGTGTGTAGAAAAATTTTGATGTGATGAAAAAGTTAAAAGTTTGAAGAAAAATTTGGGAACTAAGAGCATGCCCAACAATCACCCAATATTTGATTCCCAAAAAATCTGAATTAGGAATACCAAAATAAAAATTGGGCCCAACAATGACCCCCTCCTCCAAGAGATGCCTAAAAATCAATTCCCTGTCATTTGTTAGTTTGCCACGTAAGCAAGGTGGGGCCCAGTTCGGTACTTGTGCACGTCTTCTCCCTCCCGCACCAGCGCTGATCGACTTCTTCCTCCCCGGACCTGCGCCGCCGTGACCTAGCGCCATCATCACCAGCCAGTCAACCAGTGTCCTGACTGCTGCGATTTGTTAAAAAACGGAACACCAAAGAGAAGCCGTAGCAATTCCTGAATTTCAAGCCGGGGAAGTCAGTCACAGAATGGACATCAGATCAGGCTGCAACACTCTGAAAATTAATCTAAACATCGAACGAATCAGGGATAGCTTTACCGAAATTGCTCCTATGGAGGAATTCTTCATCACTCACAGAATAAGCTATGGAGAAATCGACGCCAGGAGCTTCGTGTAAGAGGGGATTCAGTGTCTCCCATGGAGCATGTCCCTCCATGGACTTTGTCGCCTGCACACCGGAGTAGGGAGGTTGAGGATGAGGCAGACCGAGACGACGGCGAGGCGGCGGTGCGGGGCGCAGAGGGCCGTCGGCCCCAAATCGAGGAGGCGGTGGTCGACGTGCGGGCGCCCCCTGGAACAACGCCGACGCCGACGCCTGCGAGGAAGAGGACGGCGGCTGCATCGCCGCTTGGAGCAACGCCGGCGCCTGCACCTGAGAGGAAGGGCATGGCCGCTGCATCGCTGCCTGGAGCAACACCGACGCCGACCCCTGCGACCGAGAGGAAGGGGACGACCGCTGCATCTCCGCGTGGAACTCAGTCGACGACGCCTACGAGGAAGGGGTTGGCCGTTGCTTCACCGCCTGGAAAGCCGCTGCCGACGCCTGGGAGGAAGAGGAATTTTGTTGCTGGCGACTGGCGAGGAGGGCGAGAAAAGGAGCGCGGGAACAATTTTCCCCCTACGCGCGCGAGGCAGCGACGACCACGATTGGGAAGAAAAAATGGTTCCCTGCAAATGAGTAACGACATATACGAATATGGGAACCTGGATTATTGGGATGTTGGTTAGGGAATCTGTTGGATGAGAATTTTGGTTAAAATTTCTTTAATTTAAGGATAGGGAATAGAATAAGTAATCTGTTGGGCATGCTCTAAACCAGGCCCGAGAGAAAACGAGACACTCGAACCGTTCCAGTGAACAGGATGATCAGCTTCTAGTCCAGAGTCCAGACTCCGATCGATTACGTGAATCGATACAAACTCCCTCCGAAATCCGCCGGAGATTCCGCGCTGGCATTAAGCATTAACAGAAGCCGCGCGCGGCAAGCGGCTAGGGTTCGACGCGGCGTCGTCCCCAGCGCCGGCATTGCGGCGGCCGGCGCGATGGAGAAGATGATAGTCCGCCCGCGCGTGCCAACCCATGAGAGCTTCTCCGCCACCTCCATTGGCCTCAAAGACGAAGCGGCTGATCAAGAGGAGGAGGAGGTCTAAAACTTTGAAGACTTCTTCCGAATCGGAGCGAACCTGACCAACAATACAGAGATCCGTGGCGACCAATTTATTGACCGAAAGCGCGGCTAGGCCTCTAGGGTTTTGCGGCGGCGACGCAAACGACAGTGTCAAGATCGCAGCCGCGGCGGCGGCGGCTAATTTTGCTTTAGATTCTGAAAAACAATTCCATATGATCGTGTCGGCGGCGGAGGCGGCGACGGAGACGGATTCAATGGTAGTAGCAGACACGCGGGCGACAAGCCATGGAGGCTTGTTCATCCCCCATCTTTCTGGAAGAGAAAGCGGCTCATCAAAAGGAGGAAGAGGAGGAGATTCATCTGCGTCTATTGGATCAGCTGTTCGCCCCGTTCGACATGTTCGAGGGGGGCGACCCGGTGCTCCACGAGTGGCAGTACGCTAGACCAATCTACGGCAAGGAGAGGGACGCCGCGCCGCCGCGCCATTGCCATCGGCTTTTCAGGATCAAGCTCTCCTCCAAGAGAGGGCAGGCATTGTGGTCGCACAGGGAGACCCGTCGCTTCTGCGCCGAGCGAGAGGGCGGGTTCCCCCTCCGCCTCGCCCGCCTCGCCGCCGACGGGTGTTGCCTAGAGCTGGAAGATGACGGCGGCCAGGTGGGCGCCCTCTCCTGCTTCCGCCTCAGCACATCGCAGTCCGGGCTGTCCCGCAAGGCCGAGATGGTCGCGGCCGTCGTGGCGGCGGGCTCCCCGCCGGTGAGGGTGGTCGCCGTCATCAGGCGGCTTCCCGGCGCCGGAGGCGACCGCCTTGCCCTCACTACCAACATGTGGATCGCAAGACTCGCGGTGCGCCTCCATGACAAGCTGTTCGTTCTGCCCCCCGACGGCTCAACAGTCACCATCGCCTTCTCCGAGCGATGGTTCCGTATCCCCTCCAAATGGACGGAGGAGAAGCTGTATGCTAGGGTCGGCCATGAATTCATCAACATCACGGCCGCATTGGAGGATCTGGCCAGGAATCTCTACCAGATGTATGAGCAAGAGGAGCAAGAAGAGATGATACTTCACGAGAAGCAAGAGCAGGAGAGGAGGAAGCAAGAAGAGTTGGACAGGGAAAGGGAGGAGCTGGAGATGAAGCCTCTTGCCTACATTCCTCTAGGCCATGGGGACATAAAGTGGGAATCGCCTGATGAAGCGATGCACCGAAGGTTCGAACTATCAGTGGGCACCAATGGGGAAGTTCGCTGCAGCTTCGTGGAACAAGAATGTCCTCGCGACATGCGCTGGAGGCTTGCCTGCTATGACAGGTTCGTTCTGCCATTGACGACGATGGAGCTTCAAGCAGTGGGATTTGTGGAAGGCTATTTGGACCCAAAGATGGATGGCTTCACAGAACAAAGAGGCAAGACAGTCGCATTGAGACCTGTGGCAATGGTGTCGATGTCACCGCAGGTGGATCAGATTTTTAGTTTCAAGTTCCTAGTGGACAATCTAGCAATATGGCTCAACGACGGCGTTGTTCTTACTGGGTGGAGTGGAATCACGGTGAGCATCCATTGCGGAGATGATGACAACAGCTGTGCATTCCCATCCTTCACCTCAGCAGATAACTGGACACACCAAGTTCTAGAATGGAAGGTTGATGATAACAACCCAATATCATGTTCATGTTTGCTTCTTCAGCTCAATAGGAAGCTTTGCCGGCTAAATGCCGCAAGGATAGACTGGCAAGAACATGATTTTGGACTCAGTGCCATCTTTGCATTAGAAGCAGAGGAAGATCAGGGACTTCTGTATCAGCAGAAGCAGCAAGAAAACGAGGAGTTGAGGCTTAATGCGTTATCTCTACCTGGGACACTATCAGGGGGAGGGGAAGGAGAAGGCGAGTACAGCTTGTTGTTTGAATCTCCTGAGGAATCTGATTGGGCGAAGGTTTCAGAGCCATATGTACCCAAGTTTCCAACTGAGGAGGAAATTCAGAAGAGGGAAGAGTGGCGCAAGGAGCAGCTTAAGCTGGTCATGGAGCCAATCATACAACCAGTGCAGGAACCAAGGAGGGGTTCGAATTATTTCATGTGTAACCCAGGCAGCAGGAGCACTACAAAAGCAGAGCTCCCAACGGATGAGCCATATGCGGTGTTATTATACTACTGGACCTTGTCCGACAAATCGGAATGTAAGTGCACATCTTATATCAATCTGAACTGCTTCTCCATGAGCACTAATATTTACACATATATACTGATTTCTTGTTATCTTGGGTAGAAAAGTGGTGATCACTGATCAGTAGGACTAATACAGTATATATTGGTACTGGACTTAATCACCATACTCTATATAGCAAAATGGATTGTGGTCACATAGAAAACTCCTACCAATCCTTATAATATAGGTAGAAAGGCTACACATGTTAATCAGCAGTAGTAGCCAGTTTACCATATGAATAGGCGGCTTTCTTTTGTGTTCATTGCAAGCAATAGTTATCAGTGTGCCAACCTTGATGTAGTGTTATAGAGGGGGAAAAGAACATATATTATAACACTCAAAAAATGAAAAGGGCACTTTTCCTTAACCATCAGGCCATGTGTTATGTCACATGAGGAATTTGGTTACCGCTTGGGGCTTCGCTAAGGAGCCAACTTTGCAATTCAAATAACTAGACAGATTCACTTGTGTCAGACTTTTTCTCCAAATCATACATTCTTTTCTGTAAGACAAAGGTCTGAGTACTGGTTATTGTTTGCTTTGGCCTGATTTGTATTTTTCATATGTTGCATATCATAATCCAGGCTAATTAAGTAATTCTTTGAATCCAGCAAAGTTGCAACCTAAGAGGAATCTGCATCCTAGACTTGTTTGTTTGGAGTGGTGTACTTGTGCACCCAGCAGCATCTTGCAAGTTTACACCCTCGAGATCATTGTAGCTGATTCTCTTCATTCCTGCAAACTCGACATATCCGGATTCGTCGCGATTAGGGACTTACGTGATGGACGGCGCAATTACATTTTCAACAGAGAAATAGGCCACCCTTTCACCGTCGTATCACGACATGTATGCACTCCATCTCTTCCACATTTCTTTTCAGGACTTCTTCTCTAAGCGGAAATAATGAAATCTCTATGTGGCCATATTGCTTTACTCTGCAGGGTGTTTTGCGGCTGCCAACATTGAGCCCTCGGAGAGCCATTCATACCAATCCTGAAATCTTGCTCGAGTTCAACCTGAAGATAAAGAGAACAGGTAATGGCATTGACAGTTACCGTGAGCTGATCCAAGGAGTAGTAGAGCATCCTAGTATATATCGGCACGATTGGTCCAGAGTCAATGAGCTGTCCATTCTACCTTGTGGCAACCGCTCTACTCCAATGATGCGCCTGAAGCTCGCCAGGATTCTGAAAGGCGTCGAGGCCACTGTTGAGCTCCAGCCGCTCAGGCTGCCTCCCGGAGGCATTGATTTGCGCTGCACAGCTCGGTCAGGCCGCATAGCTGATGACATTGAGCTTTTCGATGGCAAATACGGTGGCGACGACGACACTTCCCTACAGTTTGTGGTAGCAACGGAGTTGCATGGCAACATGGAGATCCACTTGGAAGGAGTATGCAATGGCGTGAGCAGGAGATGGTGCATTGGTTTTGTGCCAAAGTTCCATGCTTTGTTCTCTCAGGAGGTAGACTTACAATTCGCTCAGCTTTTGCTGACTGTTGCCTGGTCCATGTAGATAATGCATTTTTTTCTTCTTTTATTTATTTTGGTAATAGTGTCATATCTAGATTGCTTAGGCATAGTCGCATAGAACTTTTTTTTTCTTTTTTTTGGAATACCAGGTATAGAAGAAATTGTTTCTGCGTCGCCGTTGGTGTCTGAGACTGAGAAAATGTATTATTTAAAAAGATCGTTTGATTGTCTCAGATGGACGAGAATGCGAACCGCGCGTGGGCTGTTGTTCTTTTACGTGCGTGTTGGTGTTATGCGTCCCTTTTGCCTGGCAAAATAAATGTCAGAATTGAATCTAGAGCAGCAGCAGGAGTATAAAATGTTGTAATGAAAAGACAAGAAAATGTCGTCTTTGTTGCATTGACCACTGCTGTGTGTGCAGGCATTCAGGTGGATGATCGTAGCTAGTAGACTGTATATGCCTGATGAGTTCTTTGCTAAACTGAACGGACATTCAGCATTCCATAATTTGGTCATTGAAGCAAATCAGAAAACAAGCATTCATCGTTCCATATTGGCAATTGAAGCGAACCAAAAAAAGAGAAAAAAAATCCAATATTGGCAGATAATGGCAATTGAAGCAAATCAACTCATATTAGCAATTGAAGTAAACCAAAAAAAGAAAAAAAAAATCGATATTGGCAGATAATGGCAATTGAAGCAAATCAGCTCATATTAGCAATTGAAGTAAACCAAAAAAAGGGGGGAAAATCCGATATTGGCAGATAATGGCAATTGAAGTAAATCAAGTGGGAAAAAAGAAGGGCAGACAATGGCAATTGAAGCAAATCAACTGGGGAAAAAAGGATTACGCCGTTGCCGGGGATCGAACCCGGGTCACCCGCGTGACAGGCGGGAATACTCACCACTATACTACAACGACTTGGTTGGAACTAATTTCAAAATTAAACTTCATGTATGTTCACTGACGAAGAGCTGCAAAGTTGCATCAAACAAACTACTACTCCCGCATTTCTGCGTGCGTCTCTCACGCGCATTGTGAAGAGAAGAGGCCGTATGCATCGACACGAACTCGCGGTCTCACGGCGAGTCCCACTCCCATGAAGCGAGCCACGCGCGCGGTACGTGCGCCGCAGCGGTAGGCAAACTCGTAACTGCACGCCGACGCATCACGCACCCCGCCGAAACGCGAGCGCGCGTGCCGGTCGCGGTCGCATGCCCAATACTCTACGCCCCGACGGGGTGAGCCGCAGCCGCCGACCCACCCATCAATTCTGCGCGGGTGGCACGGCGCAGCCGCACGCACGCACGCGCGCGCGTATGGCTACGGAGGCGACGCCGCCGCCGCCGCGCGCAACGGCGCAGCGCGCGCGGTGTCACGTCCCGTCCCGTCGCGCGGCACACCACTACTGTGACTGTGAGCGCGGAGGCAGCGGCAGCAGCATCTCCCGGATCTCACGTCTTGTCCGCCTGCCACTACTGACTCCGGCGTCCCATCCTTGCTGCCTGCCTCTGCCTCTGCCTCTTTTTTTTTTACTCGTTGCTCGCAGCAGGGTACGGCACCCGCTTTACGCAGCGCCACCACCCATCAATGCCTTGTCCTCATCACGCATTATAATGGAACCCCAAAACACATTTCCTTCTCGTAACAATTCACGTGCTCGTGGCATGTACAAGAGCCTTGTGCACAACTGCATGGGTACTCCACGGTCTGCCAAGTCAAAGCTACTATCCACTTCATGTTCCTGCAAACTTCTGTAATAACGTAAAAGCCTTCGTTTCCGTGAGCTTTAGCGGCCAGCTGTTGCTCGTCTGCTAGCTCAACTGAGACCCGAGATGCCGAGGCCGGAGGCCGCGTTGCATGCCCATGCACGATCTGCTGCTGCTGCTACGCATTTGTTGCAACTCAGCTGCGGTTTCGCTCCTGTTCCTCTTAATGGCTTTGCCCTGGTGCTCAGGAAAACCATTGACTCCCCCTGCGTGCGTTGGGTGTTAATTTGGCCTTGCTCTGATCTGATCTGCACCCATGCATGCAAGCACGCATGATCTTTCTACTACTACTAGGATATCTAGTACTACTGCCGTGCACACCCGGGACTGAACTGAAGAATCTATATCAAACTGTCTTCAGCTACTTTGCACTTTGTCCCCACGAGAGGCTGGCCCATTGCACAGAGCGTGTCTTTGTTGATCTTGGACCATCGGGGAAAAGAGATGGGATTAATTGGAGTACACTGCCAGCAACTCCGGGCGGGCATGCATGGAGTGCATCATACTTCATGTCTTTGTACTGTACTATCAGTGTTAATTCCACCTTCTTTGAAAAAATACCAAGAGAGATACCACATATTTTATTATGCAGTAAAACTTAATACCTCTTGTTACTTAATAACTCGAGATATCAAAATTTTAAGTTTAAATTTTTGGTACGCCGAGATGTTTTTTTCAAGGAGTAGTGTATTACTGAAAGGACGATCCATGAGATGATAAGTAACATGAAAGGAAATACTTTTTTTCTACAGGAAGTGAATGCAAATTTTCTACTATTGCTGCATACAATTTCTGATATTCTCCGTCAGGGCATCAGTGTACGTTCAAATTTGAGAGCCGGTACGAACGACATCAAAATTGTGATACTAGCGTCCTTTCTGATCGCAGGTTTTTGGCGATGTACTGCTACTCCTTGTCGCATGTACAGTGCATACACTACGCTACACCCTGCACGTCTCTCCCTGATGCGCCTCTGTCATGCATCGCATGCAGCACTACTACAAGTACTATTGATGCCACCTCACGCACAGCGAAGTCGATCGTTGATTCGTTTCCATATGGTAAGACGTAGTCGTATGTATGCACAGTGCCACGCAGCTACATGAGACGTGTTCAGAGCGATGCGTGTCTTGAGGGGATCGTCGCGTAGCGTCGTGCAGGGCATCGTGCACTGTGCACGGATCACGAAGAAGAATCGGGGAGGAGGAGGAGGCCCCTACTGTACTGTACTACCCGTCGCTCCGTGAGTTAGTGGTGTCAAACGTCAATCCATCCGTCGATCCGCCGTCCATGCCATATGCTATGGGTTTCCTCATCGATCGGCACATCTACACACCAGCTTTGGCTTTGGCAGCCCGCGGCGTCGATCAACATGTCAAGATCACGCACGCATCCATGGAAACTCGACAAAGGGAAACGCTAAAATCCAACCCCACGGACGAACGCTTGTCACCGCACGATCCATCGATTCGATCGCCTCGTCGTCGCGCCGGGTTGTCTGTGGAATGCCAGCCCTGTCGGGACGAAGACACTGTCGGAAAAATGGTCAAATCGAGGCTACCGTTTTTTTAAAACAAAACAAAACCAGAATCGAATAAAGATGTAAACAAATTATTATATACTGAAACAAATTAGAATAATTGTTACTTCCTCCGTTTCATATTATAAGACTTTTTAACATTACCCACATTTACATATATATCGATGAATCTAGATATATATGTGCGTCTAGATTCATTAACATCTATATAAATATAAACAGTGCTAGAAAGTCTTAAAACATGAAATGGTAGTATATTTTAAAACGGGGTAGCATCGATTCGATTTGTTTCCGAACAACACAAAACGGAAACAATCGCCGATACACACCGAAATCTCTATGTAAAAAAATCCCTAATCCTACCTACTATGAAGGATTTAAATAGAAATTCCGTACAACAATGGCTGCCAAGGAATGCGCCGTGATTGACACAAATGACAATTCCACGGCCATGGCCCCCTTGGTTTCGGAGGGGGTGAAAACCCCGTATCCAGAATCGTCCAAAACGCCACACAAGATAGCAACAGGACGAGGATAACGAGATCAGTGGCTAGCTTGGCTGGCTCGCTGTTGTTGCGCTCGCTCGCTCGCATCCACCGCTCCACCACCACCAGCAAAACCGGGCGGGCGAGAGAGAGGCGGAGTGGTGTCACAGCAGCTAAAGGCAAAAGCGAAAGCGGCAGGCAGGCAGGCAGGCAGCGCAGGGCAGGAGGGCTAGAGCTAGAGGAGAGAGGATGGATGCAGGAGCCAGGGGGCCATACGAGAGCACAACACAGCACAGGGCGCTGCAGTGCATGCATTCGACGACCACTGCCTGCGCAGCAGCCGCTGAATATTCCCTGCACCATTTTAACAGCCAGAGCTCGGAGGGGAGGCATTGAGGCAAGCCAGGACAACGGCACGCCACCCCACAGCCCTCTCTACTCTACTCCCACGCTGCGTTTGCCTTTGCCTCCCAGCGCCCCTGCCTAGCCTAAGCTACTCCTACTCGTAGTACCAGTACTGACTCTCTGAATCTGCCTCTATGTTGCCAGTCTAGTTTGCTGCTCCTACACAAGGCTCTCGCGTAACAGTGTAACGGCAGTGTGCGTGATCTACCGAAGCATCGGTGCGTTTTGGGTGCAGAGATGGATTGCGTTGCACGCATTTGATGATGATGCAGAGATTGCATGTACTCCACTCACTTCACCGTTGGGGCGCTTCAGACTTCAGAGAACTTTAACGGTTCTGACGCCTTGCTGTACTGTGACCAAACTGTAGGAGTAACAAATTTTTAAGCTCTCTCTGGTGTACTTTCTCTCGCTCTCAATTGCTCTGTCACGTTGAATACTTTACTCCCTCTGGGATTAGCAACCTAAAACTGGTGGCGACCAGAAAGACTTCACAGCTTTTGTCCCGACTACAAAACCTGCATTTCGCTGCATTTGATGCTGTACAACTGCATTTTTCAGCCTAATGCTGTACACCTGTTAGCATAGATTTTCATTAGAATTGTTTGAAGGATTAAAACTAATACTATCACTTTTGTCCGCAAGTGTAGAGCGTTATCCACATGCTTCTGCATTTCTGCAGACGAATTTTGTTTTTCTGAAAGAAATTTGGTATGGTCTTCTTGCAAAAAATAAATAAATCAATCAAATTACCACATGATTGTATATTACTCGTACCACGTCATCAAGAGCAGCATAAAAGCACACTGGAGTGTTAAGTTGCAGCAGCAGATAACATATGCAAAAACACAGAGATTATAGATGCATTACAATGAATTGTAACTCGATTCATTCCAAGCTTGAGGCTACCTCCAACACTAGTGTTTATTGCATTACTTAGAAGACCATGAAGGCATCAAGATCTGAAACCAGGTAGAACCCCAAGCCTCTAGCCAAGAAGCCCCTCATCTTAGAGCTTCTCAAGAAACCAAAA